AATCGACGAAATTTCGAGGACGTCTCGAGCGGGAGCGCGTTTTTTTAAAGATATCAATATTTTTTTTTGAGGACGCTCCGCGCGGGAGCGCAATCTTGATCGATTTGAAAAAGATAAAATCGATAAAAAGTCAACGAAATTTTGAGGACGTCTCGAGCGAGAGCGCGATTTTTGAAGATAGCTTCAGATAACAAAAAATGAACAGAGACTCAAAAATAACCGGCTGTCCGACGAAACTGCGCAATTCTGATGTTTTCATAACGTACAAAAATGTTTAAAAACGCGATTTCTTGAGGATGTCTCGAGCGAGAGCGCGATTTTTGATGATTTTAGTGAAGATCGGGGGGTCGTCCAGTTCGTTTCGACCCCCCTAGGCAAGACTAAAGTAAAGGCAATCTGGCTTCCCAGACACAACATTGTAACATTCTCCGAAATGAAGACGTCTCGAGCGAAAGCGCAATTTATAACTTCACATCTTTGCGTCCAAAATGTTTGCGCGACGGCAGAGCACGCTGCGGGTGGCGGGCCACGCACATCGAAATAATTAGAACCCCACACTAGATGTGGGGAATAAGAAGTGGTAAAAATGCGTCCTATATTTGACCTCGAACAACGGTCGCTGCGCAAAGACTGGTGCGTTTTGGTACATGACCTTAACTGAATTGTTGGTATTTGGTTTTCCTCGCATTCTAATTGGATAAGCGCTGAACGCCATCTATAACTTTCACTTGCATGTGTTCCGTCCGTGCTGTTTGGTGTCTTGCACTAATCATGTTCATATTTCCATCACTCTTCAACATTTTCGTCATGTCTCACCAGTTGTTCGTTTTGTGTTATGATTTCAAAGCTTTCAGGGCTTTCCTGATTTTTGCCAATTTTCAATACTCTTTCATATGTGTTTTGATTGTCCACCATTTGTTTGTCATTTTTATTTTTCATATATCATTTCTTGTTTGATCTTCCGGATCGTGCCATTTGAAGTTTTCTGCGCCCAACATCAGTAATTGTATGCCTTTTTTTGATCCGCCATTTTTTAATCCGAAATGGAATTTTTTGGATCTGTATGCATGTTTGTTGATCTCTCACCCCACTGGCTTTTGGTGTCTTGCTTGCATTCAGGCAGAGCATAGAACTTCCTGAGCTACGCGTGGCCGTCCATGCTCAGGCATCATGCAAATCATCCAAACACTGCAATATGCAACCCTCTCGGCCTTCCCCTGATGAGGAGAGGCGCCTTCTGAATCTGGAGGCGCCGGAGGCGCAAGAGGGAGCTGATGTGGTTCTGCAGCGTGCGCGGAGCTCATAGCTCATATTGTTTTGCCATCTTGAGACGCTACCAATATCAGCTAGGGCCGGAACGTATAGAAGGGATTGTTCTTTGAGCGCCTCCTTTCTGCAAGGATGTGGACGGAGTCCATGGGTCCGAAGGTGTACCTCCCATATCCTTTATTTCGTCTAACATTCATAGCCGCGCAATGTCAGGCGGCCTGTATGATGGCCAGGAGCCAGTCAAGGAGGCCTTTCCCTTACGTCTTCACATATCTTTGCATTTTCAGATATCCGAAAGTCAAGCCATGGCAGATATACTTTGTCACCGATTTCAGTGAAGCCGAGCTGCGAGCTCCTGTGGCACATCAACTTTTTGCTGCATCAGAAAGGCGGGGGATCTCTGCGGATTTGCCATCGAGCGTGTGCCTGGCTCCTGTCTATGCCCGCCTCTGCTGATATCCCCGCACAATTTTGCCTTGATTCAGGTCTCAAGTTGAGGGCGCACTTTGGTCTTTGCCTCGTGACTGCAGCTGGTACCATCGAGAATGTTGCCATGACCTTGCAACTGGTGGCAGGCAAAAGGTTGAGTTTCCGGAGATGCGAAGGGCTTTGCACATCCAGGAGCAGAAGTTTCGCAGCATTCCAAAAACATGGTCCAAGTGTTGGGAAAAGATGGTTCGCTAGAGCCACAGAGCTTGGCTTGTGGCCACTCCGTGCAGTCTGGCATGCGTTTCAGCAAATGAAACCAGCGGTCTGAATTGGGTTTGTGCGAAGAAGATGTTTCAGACTGCTCATGGACAATGCTGCGGAAATGGCATAGAACTTAAGACCGGAGGGCAGCAGTTCTGACGCAAAAGAAAAGGTTCAAACTGTTTTTGTGCTTGTTCAGGACAGAAGGCTCTCGACTCTCGAAGCCCAGAGAGATGGATGGGAGCCTGCACCAAGTGTTGTGGCAGAGGCAAGGAGTTCCTCCGAGTTACTCTGTCACCGCTATTCATCGCTTCACGGCTCAGCTAGGGACGCACCAGGCTGAGACGACCTCAGCTCCAGCAAAGGCAGTCAAGGACGTGTGCAGTTTGTGACAAGGTAGTTTGGGGACCGGTTAATCTTGTTGCAATTAATCAATGCCTCTCTGCCTGTAGCTGTGGGGGGAGTGAAATCAGCTGTTTTCAGGAGGGTGATGTTGCAGTTGGCAGCTGCCAAGCGGGCAGCTGTTCAGGCATGACGAACTCTTCCATGTTTGTAGTACCCTCGTGTCAGCCTTGGGGGCACTTGCACAAGGCAGCGCTGCATGTGAGCACGACGAGGTGGGCTCGCCAGAAAATCAACTACAAGCATTGCTTGGGTGCGTCGAGCAGCCCCCAGGGTCTGATACAGAAGCTGGTCAGCAGAGCGTCCGTGGACGTCATGCCAATTTAAAAGCTGGCGCCAGGAACGGGCGACGTGCGGGCAATGCCAGGGGGCACTTTGCATTCAGCTTTTTGAAGTGCACGCTCCTAACACTCCCATGGATGCTCACGGTGCCGACCCTTTGGCTAGCATCATCAGCATCATTGGCAGGCCATTTCTCCATTTTAAGGCTCCTCTGCACCCGTTGACCTCTCTTGGTACATGGATTCTTCTCAGCTCTCGCCCAAGACGAGCCTTGGGGCTAGTTTTCAAAAAGGTCTATGCTAATGAGCCTTTTTTTGGGTTTCAGGCTGCTTTGGAGGTGGGGTCCGGGGTGTCCGTTGGACAAACGCAGGTCCGATGATGCTAGAAAAAAGTCGGCTGCACCGTGTCTCCCGAGTACCTGGAAAGCTAAGCTATGGTAACATCGCTGACGCAAGCACAAAAGGGCGTTGCATGGCGTTGCCGAACTCTAAAGAGCCACCAACCCCAGTGGCAGTCAGGTAAGACGGGCCGGAAGTCTAAACAAAACCCACAAAAGTCAGACCTCGCGCCAGCGTAGCTGATATTGCAGTGGCCGCACCACAGTCAAATTAAAGACGTGTTATGTTCCACTGGGCATGAGACCTACCGGCGCAAGCGAGAGGAGTTCATTGTTAACGTGTTACTACTGCATGTAAACCTGCCCTTGCATGGGGTCCCCGAAAGCTCAAAGCTTCGTCCCTATTTTGCAAGTTGAGGAAAGGGTGTTTCATTTTCGCCTGACAGTTCCCAGCAATACCTAGCAACCAACTAAACTAACTAGACGTAGTTAGTTTCTGTCAATTTGTTGCAACAGCGTGGGCAGCTGTCCCCCAACCCCTCGCTTTTCCAGAAGATACAAAATCAGTGTGCTGTTTAAAGCAGCAGGCGCAGTGCATTGGATACCCTATGCTTGGAAAACACAAGAAGAAATGGGATGTTCTCAGTTTCAATGTTTTGCAGAGGGGTGGGGGCAACGTCCCCAACGCCCTGCTATCTGTTCACGGGCATTGTGCTTGCTGAAATCTGTGAGATCCATTTAGTAAGAAAGTCTGTGCTTCTTCGTGTTTAGCAAATGGGGGGATGCTTCACCATTCCCAAGCGCCCT